CTGGAACTACAGGCGTGCGCTACCATGCCCAGCTAATTTTTTGATTTTTTTGTAGAGATGAGGTCTCGCCAAGTTGCCCAGGTGGGTCACGAACTTATTGATGCTTTTTAAGATAAAAATGTACTGGGCATGGTGGCTCACCCGTGTAATTCTAGCATTTTGGGAGATGCAGGTGAGAGGATTGCCTGAACCCAGAAGTTCACATCAACCTGGGCAACTTGGCGAGACCTCGTCTCTACAATAAATACAAAAATTAGCCAAGCGTATTGGCACACACCTGTGGTTCCAGCTACCTGGAAGGCTGAGGCGGAAGGATCATCTGAGCCCAGTGGGTCAAGGCTGTGGTGGCCGTGAGCATGCCACTGTACTCCAGCCTAGATGACAGAGTGAGACTCCAACTCAAAAAAATAATAATAATAAAGTAAAATAAAATAAAAATGTGTAAAATGTATCTTTTGAGTTCACATTTCTTTGGCATCTCCATTTTCTGTCTAATAAAAACTAAGTACATGGATTCTAAATTGTTACTGTGCATTTTTCTCTTGCCATGGGGTTTTATTTTTAAAATGGAAATAATTTTGATTTTGTTCTTAATCACTGAAGATTTGTCTGGCTGTTTGAAGTGATTTTTATCATAAATCACATTCCTGAGAGTTTTCATCTTCTGACCTTGATTAGCCATTGTTATTCTTGCCTTCTCAGGAAGAGCCCTGTTTGCATTTGTGGGGGATGGGGTGAGGGAGAAGGGGAGGAGATTTTTGTTTTTTATTTCTGTAAAACTTTGTTTAGGCTGGGCACAGTGGCTCACACCTGTAATTCCAGCACTTTTGGAAGTGGAGGCAGGAGTATCCCTTAAGACCAGGAATGCGAGACCAGCCTGAGCAACATAGCAAGACCTCGTGTCTACAAAAAAATCAAAAAATTAGGCGGGTATGATGGTGCACGTCTGTAGTTCCAGCTACTCTTTGGTAGGCTGATGCAGGAGGATTGCTTGAGTTCAGGAACTGGAGACTACAATGAGCTGTGATTGTACAATAATTGTATGCCACTGCACTCCAGCCTGGGCAACAGAGTGAGAACCCTGACTTAAACAAACAAATAAAAAATAATGTATTAAAACAAAACTTTTATGTGGTTAAGCATTTTTAGTATTAAAAGGTAGAATGGTGTAGTGAACCCCTATGTTCCCATCTCCTACCTTCAACAGTTATTTAACTGGTGGTGGTTTTGTTTCATCTCTACCTCTCTCCCTTGGCTGGATTATTTGTAACTAGATCCTAGGCATTGGATCACTTTGAGAAGACTTAGTGAGATCTCTAAGATATAAGGACTCTATTTAGATATGATAATTGACATTATAGCTATGGTAAATTAATAATTTGTAACAATGTCAATTAGTGCTCAAAGTTCCTAATTGTTCATAAATGTGGTTTTACTAGGTTTGTTTGAATCAGGATGATAGCTCTTTTAATCTGCAGTCGTTTCTCTGACATCTCTTAAGTTTTATGAGTGTGTGTGCATATATATAGAGAGAGACATAGATATTATTGTTATTATTATTGCCATTTATTCGTTGAAGAAACAGAGTCAGATTCCCTAGATTAGCTGCTGCATCCAAACTTTTTTCCTGATTATAAGACTTAATGTGAGACTGGGCGTGGAGGCTCACACCTGTAATCCCAGTACTTTGGGAGGTGGAAGCGAGAGGGTTGCCTGAGGGGTTCAAGACTAGCCTGGGCAACTTGGCGAGACCTCGACTCTACAATAAATCAAAAAATTATCTGGGCATGGTGGCACATGTCTGTAGTCCCAGCTACTTGGAAGGCTGAGGCAGAAGGATTGCCTGAGCCCAGGAGGTCGAGGCTGTGGTGGCTATGAGGATGCCACTGCACTCCAGCCTAGGAGACAGAGTGAGACTCCAACTCAAAAAAAAAAAAGTGCATGCACATGTTTTAAAAGGCATAGGAAAACACACAAATGAAAGAGCTGAAAGAAAACAACAAAACTTTAACATCTGTTATCTCTGGGTGGCAGAATTTTACTCTTCACTTTGTACATTTTTCAGATATATAATTATCACGCTGCTGGGCTCTGGCAATCCTGGCATGTACTACCATGCCTGGCTAAGTTTATTTATTTATTTATTTATTTTTTAAGTTGGAATCTCACTTTGTTGCCCAGTGCAATGGCATACTCATGGCCACCCCAGCGTTGACATGCTGGACTCCAGCGATCCTTCTGCCTCAGCCTTCTGAGTAGCTGGAACTACAGGCACACACTACCATGTCCCGCTAATTTTTTGATTTATTGTAGAGACGAGGTCTTGTCAAGTAGCCCGGGCTGGACTTGAGCCTGTGGGCTTAGACAATCCACTCACCTTAGCCTCCCAAAGTGCTGGGATTACAGGCTGAGCCACAGAGCCTGACCTAATTTTTGATTTACTGTAAAGACAAGGTCTCACCAAGTTGCCCAGGCTGATCTCGAACCTGCTGGCTTAGGCAATCCTCTCGCTTTGGCCTCCCAAAGTGTTGAGA